ACAGGGTCAACAGCACTTAACAACAACAAAGGGGCAAGATGGACTCAGGCTGTGGTGCCGTAGGATCGGCACTGGACTGTGAACCAGAAGGTCAGCAGTTAAAACCCAATAGCTGCTCCTCGGAAACCCTATACAGGATCACTGTAAGTTGGAACCAACTTGACACCACTTAACAACATGGGCAAGATATTGAAAAACACAGGAAGCATCAAGAGGAGATGGAAGGCATATATAGAGTCACTGTATCAGAAAGAATTGGTTAATGTTCAGCCATTTCAGGAGGTAGCATGTGGTCAAGAACCAATAGTGGTTAAGGAAGAAGTCCAAGTGGCACTGAAGGTATAAGTGAAAAATGCACCTCCTAGAATTGACAGATACCAACTGAGGTATTCAAACAATAGATGCAGCACTCATCTATGCCAAGAAATCTGGAAGACAGCTACCTGGCCATTTGATTGGAAGAGGTCCATATTTGTGCCCATTCCAAAGAAATTGTTATGCAATATTAATGATATTATTAATATCGTTAATACTACACAAAGTGAAATTTTGCTGAAGATAATTTAAAACCTGTTGCAGCAGTACATTGACAGGGAATTGCCAGAAATTCAAACCAGACTCAAAAGAGGATGTGAAATGAGGGATTTCATTGCTGATGTCAGATGGATCTTGGCTGAAAGCAGAGAATAGCAGAAAGGTATTTGCCTATGTTGTATTGACTATGCAAAGGCATTTAACTTTGTGGATTATACCAAATTATGGATAACATTGCAAAGTATAGGAATTCTAGTTAAAGAGGGTTATTAGAACAGAACAAGGGAATACTGCTTAGCTTAAAATCAGGAAAAGTGTGTATCCCTTCACCACATTTATTCAATCTATGCTGTATGCTAAGGAAATAGTCCAAGAAACTGGACTAAATAAAGAAGAATGCAACATCAGGATTGGAGGGTGGCTCATTAACAACCTGTGGTGTACATATGACACAACCTTGCTTGCTGAAAGTGAAGAGGCCTTGAAGCACTTAATGATGAAGGTCAAAGATTACAGTGTTCAGTATGAATTACACCTAAAAAAGTCCTCACAACTGGGCCACTAAGCAACACCATGATAAAATGTTGAAGTTGTCAAGGATTTCATTTTATTTGGATCCACAGTGAACACCTGCGGAAGCAGCAGTGATACATTGCATTGGAAAAATCTGCAGAAATCTCTTTTAAGTATTAAAAGGCAAAGATGTCACTTTGAGGACTAAGGTGCACCTGACCCAAGCCTTGATAATTTAAATTGTCTTATACACCTGTGAAAGTTGGACAAGGAATAAGACATACCAAAGAGGAACTGATACATTTGAAGTATGGTGTCGGCAAAGAATACTGAATGTAGCACAAACTACTAGAAGAGACGAGCATATCTGTCATGTAAGAAGTAAACCAGAATGCTCTTTGAAAGTGAGGATAGGTCTCCTGTATTTTGCACATAGTATCAGGAGGGTCCAGTCCTTGGAGGACATTGTACTCGGTGAAATAGAGGATCAGTGGAAAAGAGGAAGACGCTCAACAGAATAACACAGTAGCTGCAACAGTGGGCTGAAACATAGCAATGATGGGTAAGATGATGCAGTACCAGGCAGTGTTGCTACGAGTGGAACTAACTTGTTGACACCTACAAAAATATGGCACACCAGCCATACCGTCCACAACACTCTCTGCTCAACTGGGTTTGATCATTCATTGCAATGGCCTCACAGAACTCAGAGACCGTACTCACAGTTATGGAATTTATTAGGGATTTATTAACAGGCTACAAAACAGAATCCGAAAATGCTCAGCTCAGAATATGGTTGTTCCAGTCAGCAGATGATAATGCCCATAGGACACACCATTCCACCACAAAACTCATCCAGGAGACACTCAGCTCTAGGTCTGTGGGCTGGCAAACCTAGTTCCTGCAGTTAAGTGCCTGGGGGCACCCTACTCCACAAGCAAGCTTCCTGCCCAAAGCCACTCAGCTTTATTACTTGCTTCATGGCCTGGGAAGCCCACTGCTCTATCTTGTGCTCTGGTTCTTGGTTCTGCTGCTGCTACTCCTCTGCCACTCCTCTAGTGTCACATCTTTCTGTCCCTGGGTCAAGGAGGCTCCATACATAGGGATCTTGGGGTCCAAAGGATATGCTACACTCCCGGCTCTTTGATGGTAGTGAGATTCCCCACTCCTGCTTTTGAGATGACTCATTTTTTTGCCCATGCTAGAATTTCAAGTTTATACAATGACTGTGACCTCTGCTAACATCCACAGCTGAATCTAGTCATCCTATCAGTGTCTTCTCCCACCTTCTCTTACCCAGACCCAGCAGGGCAGAAACAGTTTGATGGGAGTTACAGACTATGACTAGAAGAGACATTAGATAATTCACTACACCACAGCACTTAACAACAGTCTAACAGATAGCAAGAGGTAATGTGTAACATAGTGGGGAAGAGCATGGGCCTTGAAATCTGAGGTCCCAGAGTTCAAACCCCTTTTCTGCCACTTCCTGATTCTGTGGCTTTAAGCTGATCTCTTTACTTCTCGGAGCCTGTTTCCTCTTTTGTCAAATGAGGTGAAGCAGACCCTCCTCCTTGTTGCTTGTGAAAGTTAAATGGGTTGCTTTATATACCACCCTTAGCACATGCGCAGCCCATAAATGAGTACTCGTTAATGGTAGCATTGGTTTCCAAAGCAAACTGGTCCAGACCCAGAGAAAGACTTGATTGGTTCTTGTAAGTGGCAGTACTAGTGAGCATCCTTCTCCTGACACTCCTGGGTGCAGATACACGGATGGTGGCATCAGGACTGTATCACTGGGGTGGCTGCTGCACAGGGAGGCTCCCTAAGTGAGGGCCACAAGGAATCAACAGCTCTGGGCAACTCCTGTGGAAAGAGAGCTTTTGCACTCAGTGGTTCCAACCAAAGCCCCAGGGCCTATCAGCATGACCCTTGAGCCAACCACTGTGGCTCCGATCCCCGTCTATGTAGATTGAAGAAGTGGAGAAGAGCAAGCCTCTGAAGGACAGCCAGAACTGCTGTTCCCCAAAGACGAAAGAGATGCTAGGTGGGCAAACAGAAAAGATGCCTGTTACAAATACTTGTAATCACTCCCAGCAGCACTCCCGCCCACTGCCACCTGCCAGGTACCGCTGCCAGCCTGCCGCCCCACTGACTATACTGTCATTGCAGCCTCCACTCTGAGAAGCAGAGCCTCTGCCCCTGGTGTCCTGACTGGGGTAACTGCAGGGGCTATTCCCATCCACATGCGAGAGTAGATCTTCTGCAGCCTTTCCCTTAGCCAACGAGCCAAGGTAACAGCAGTCAGGTGGGAGGCTGAGCAGGAAGCCAGGCGTAGGAAAAGAAACCAGACTTTTGAAGTTTACCTTTCAGGCTGCTGCTTGTGGCTTTAAGCCGATTATCTAAACTCACCACTCCATTTTCTCACCTCTGTGATGCTGTAGGATAAGCACTGGACTGCTAACAGCAAGGTCGGTGGTTCAAGCCCACCAGCTGCACCTTTGAAACTACACAGTGTCACTGTGAGTCAGAACCAACTCAAGGGAACATAACAACAATAACAAACACTGTAGTTGACTCATTGTGACCCTGTAGACCAGAGTAGAACTGCCCCATAGGGTTTGCAAGACTGTAAATCTTGGCAGAAGCAGACAGCTTCATCTTTCTCCTGAGGCTGGTAGATTTGAACCATTGACTTTGAAGTTGGCAGCCCACAGCACCACCAGGGTTCCCCCTCTCACTTGTTAAGTGTCGTCAAGTCAGTTCCAACTCAATGTATAGGGTTCTGAGGAGTAGTTGGTGAGTTCGAACCACCAACCTTGTGGTTCAAGCCAATCTCATGATCAAGTGCTTATCCTACAATGTGACACTGGCCGGTAGGGCAGGCTTTTTTGTTGATGTTAGGCACTATTGTTTTGATTAAGTGGCCTGGTTCCCTTGTTTTAGTGGTTCACAAAACCTCCCCAAACTCTTAAGGCTTCTTAATTAGTGTTTTAAGTTTGGGGGCTTACTTTTGATTGTCTCTTTGAAGCTCCTCCTCCTAGGCTCCTCAGCCTCTTTAGCAAAGGGCAGTGGGCTCCGAAGGTCTTGGCCAGGCATGAGCCATCAGTTTGGGTACCTGTCCTGCCAGACCCCAGGAGATGCTGTCAACACTGCTCCTGCTGAGCTTCCCACACCACCAGTCCCTGCACAGCCCGGGGACTCACAGTACTGTCCTGATCAGGAGTCCCCAGCTGCCCTCTTGCCTCAGTACTGGCAAAAATGAGACTGGCTGGGGAAGGACTATATACAGAGAATAATTCTTGCATAGATGTGTTATCAGTTAGCAAGTCCCTGTTGAGGTCCTGGATTGAGGAATAATGGGAGGGACACAACACTATTCCTCCACTATTCAGGGAGCTCACTACTGCAGGGAAGACTTCTAGTATCAGGGACCTGCTCCCATGGGAGAAGGAGTAAGAAGGGGAGAGGAGGGCACAGAGGCAAGGAGAACTGCAGGGCTGGGGGAGCAGGAGTGTTCCGGTGAAGGCCGTAGGCTGGGTGAGAGTCGGCGGGGCTGAGGGCGGACTGAGGAGGAGCTGGTCGTTCTGACTCTTTGGTACTCTTGGGCTCCATCCCCACTCTTTGGTGGACAGCCCTCTTGCAGAGCATAGCAGCCATCCATGTTGCATTTTTAAGCTGTGAGTTTCTTCAAGCACCATAGGACTCAGGGCTCTGAGGATGCCCCCTGGCAGGTTTCTAAGATCCCAGGGCTGGACCATCTGAGTACCTCCCTGAGTCAGTCTAGCATTGGCTAGCCTAGCCTGTGCCCCCTGGGCAACTCCAACACCTACAAAGGCTGCACCTTGTGTCTGGGATTTAGCAGGCCTGTTTGTCCTCCTCCAGGCCCTCTGTGCTCTCCTGTACCCATGTGAAGCCCACACTTCCTCCTCTCACCCTCTGTCTCCTCCAAGGTCCAGCTGCAGCTGCTGACTGCCATCGTGAAACTCTTTTTGAAGAAGCCCACAGAGACCCAGGAGCTGGTGCAGCAAGTCCTTAGCCTGGCCACGCAGGTGGGTGCCCAGCCTTTAGCAGTTATCAGAGTCCAGTGTGCCACCCAAGACTGGCATACCTAAGCATCAGGCTCCATAGGACTCCAGCACAGGAAGCTTCGGGTCTGACTGGGAAATCCCACACAAATTACCACGGAGTAGGTGTAGTGGTGAACATATGACAATGTGAATGAGAGAGGGGGCACCAACAGTCGAGGAGGCTGCCTGAAGTTGGTACAAGTCTCAGTCTGCAGAGAATGTGGAGGGCTTGGACGGGAGTCAGGGAGGATAGACTGGAGAGGAGAGCCCAGAAAGTGGAGTTAGGCATGGCCTGCTCAAGGCAGTGACTAGAGTGGAAATCCACTGGCGGTGTCCAAGGAGCCAGGGACATGCCCATGTAAGTGGTTTAGAGGCAGGTGCATGGGAGCACTCTAGCCTGGCATTCACTGGCCTTATGGACACGCCCAGGTCTCTAGTTGAATTTCATGGACTTTTCATCACCCTTGCAAGGACTCAGATAACCCGGACCTGCGGGACCGCGGCTACATCTACTGGCGCCTGCTCTCCACTGACCCAGTGGCTGCCAAAGAGGTGGTGCTGGCCGAGAAGCCGCTCATCTCAGAAGAGACGGACCTCATCGAGCCCACGCTCCTGGACGAGCTCATCTGCTACATTGGCACGCTGGCCTCCGTCTACCACAAGCCGCCCAGTGCCTTTGTGGAGGGGGGCCGCGGCGTCGTACACAAGAGCCTGCCACCCCGATCTGCCTCGTGAGTGCCACTGGCTCTTGGGTCCAGTGGTGCCAGCGCTCAGGCCTGGCCCAAGTCTGAGGGAATTTGTGTGTCTGTGAGACCTTTTTTTGGATGCTTACTAACACTAGGCATTTGCTATGGCCTCACTCAATCCTAACAGCAGCTCTGAGAGAGCTGGAGTGGCTGGCCCAGGGTCCTGCAGCTAGAGAAGGGCAGAGCTAGGGCTCAGACCCAATCCTGGTGAATCCTAGCATCCACGCTCCTCTCACCTCTCTCCTTGGCCACCCCCAAGTGGTTGCACAGTTCCTTAGGGATGAACACCCTTTCCCTTCAGGATGGGCGCATGCTAGGAACACAGGCCCTCTCCTTCCACATGAACTGGTTCTCAAAGATAGTGAGGGTACCTGTCCTGGTGGAGGGCTCCCCTACAAAACTGACCCTCTCCTTCCTTGTCTCAGCAGAAGCGAGAGCACAGAGAGCCCCGAGGCAGCCCCCACCGGAGCCCCCTCTGCTGAGCAGCCAGACGTTATCCCACCTCAGGGCGACCTGCTGGGAGACCTCCTCAACCTGGACCTTGGCCCCCCAGTGAGCGGTCCACCGCTGGCCACCTCCTCAGTACAGATGGGAGCAGTTGACCTCCTTGGTGGAGGCCTTGACAGCCTGGTACGACTTGGGGTCCACTCCTGGGTACTGTTGCCAGCGCTATATTCCGAAGGGTTCTCAGTGAATGTCCTCTGCCGGGCAGCAGCCACCTGTCTCAGGTACATTCAAGTTAGTTCTACCGTCTTCCAGCGGAGGTGAGTCTATGGGGCTCTAATGAGAGACGAGAAAATGGAGGCTAAGAGAGACTAGTGCCCTTCTCAGTAGAGTGGCTGAGACAGGATTCCAACTCTTGTTCTACTGCTGAGTACAAAGAGACCAAGGGCAGGGTAGAGCCAATCCTACTCTGGAGGCTGGCAATTTAGGTTACCCCCACCCTCTGTACTAGGCTGATTTGGGTGGTCTGTTGAGAGAGGCCTCAAGAGATGAGGGACAGAGTGTCCCTCCTCCCTTAGGAATGGCAGTGTGTAAGCCTGGCTGCAGTCTCCTCAGACTTCCTCAGGCAACTGGTAAGGCCAGGAGGAGGGGGATGAGCCCTATCCTTTGATCATGCTCAGCCTGGTCCCCAGGGTGTAGGACAGGGATAAGCCTAGTGAACAGTACCCCCCCAGGGAAAGGACATGAGGGGGCTGGGGCAGCCATGGGTGGGGGTGCCCTTCATGGGGACAGCGCCTGGGCCTCTATTAAACCTTGGCACAACGTTGTACCAAGTTTGTCTCAAATGAAACAGCCGTGGGCTATGACTAATCTTGTCACTCTTTCCCTTTCTCTCATATTTCCTGGCTTTTCTCTCTGCATGTGGCTGCCTCTTCTCTCCACCTTGCCTGCTTCTGTTTGGAGATGGGGGATGAGTCGGAAGGGGTACGGTTCAACACTTTTTATGTCACCAAGCCTCTTCCCTGCTCTTCCTGGGGACTCTGGCCCAGCCTTGAAAGGGACAATAACAGCCAAAGTGAGCCAGGGCCTTCTGTCCCCAGGGTCTTGGCGAACTCCTCTTTGCTGCCTAGCATCTAGCTGCCGTGAGCCCCCACTGGGCATTTACTGTGTTCTCGCCTCTCCTCCCTCTCTCCCTCCATGACAAGACACTTGTCCTTCTGAGGTCAATACCCTCCCTCCCCCAGCCCTCAGGACCCCTCTGTCCTCAAAAGGCCCAGTCCCTCCCAGCAGTAGGCCTCAGGCCCCTTTGATCCAGAGGCCGATTGCTCATTTGGAAGTGTCCTCAGCTCTTTCCCAGACCCTCTTCTCATCCACATGGCTGTCTTCTTTCTGAAGCCTAGAGGGAAGGTGGACGGCAACCCTGATCCTCCCCACTGCTTATAAAGAGCAAAGGGGCTCCCCTTCTCACTCTGGGCCCTGCTTCCCTGCCTCTTGACTCCTTTCCCTTTCTTTACCAGATTGGGAGCACCAATTTCACAGCTCCCCCAGCAGCAGCAGTCCCAGCCAACCTAGGAGCCCCCATTGGCAGCGGCCTGAGTGACCTCTTTGACCTGACCAGTGGTGTGGGCACCCTGTCAGGATCCTACGTGGCCCCCAAAGCAGTAAGTGACACGCCTTCTTTCACAGCAGGAGCAGAGGGGGGCCAGGGGCTGTGGGGACCTAAGTAAGGCTTTGGGAGCTCAGAGCTGAGGAACAAGTTGGAATTCACCACGCAAGAGGGCCCCAGGCAGAGGACAGACCTGATGGTTTTGGCCAGCCAGCTACTGGCAGGAGTCATGTCTGGTGAGAACAGGGGTTTTCAGCACTGTCTGGCTCATTTCCCTTCTTAATCAACACTGTCCTTCCCCATGTCCTACCCTTATATGGTGTCTTAGGACTGTGTAACTTGCTTTCTCATTTAGTTTCAACTATGATCTCTAACAGTGTAATGGAGACATAAAAAGGACAGAGGTAGAATTTTACATTGCAGAAATACTTGGGCATGCCTGCCCTAGGGGCCAGGATGCCATCGTCAGCTGCTGGCATAATGCATAAACACCATGATGTGATTGATGGTGAAAGGCACAATGAAGTTTGTCTCTCCGATGCTGTGAGTGGTGCTGCCAGCAGTGCCGTTAACGTCTAAAATAGTGCACCTCTCTCAGTGACATTCTGAATAAGACAATGAACAGTTAGTTCCGCCTTGATTTTCATGGTCCTTACATTCCTCTAAAAGAACTCTGAGCTGACATGTCAGGGTATATTGAAACAATATAGGCAGGCTCTTATTGTGATGACTGATGTGCCCTCACTGCTCCCTGGCCCCAGCTCACTGCAGGTAGTGACCCCATTTTGCCACCAGAATGCCCCCCAAATGCTCAACAGTTTTATGTCAGGACTGGACTAGAGGTTAGAGCAGGAGTTGGCTGGCAAGGGGCACAGGACTGGGCTGTGAGTGGTTGCTGTTGATCTTGCAAGCTTTTGGAAGCTCTAGGAAGGTTACTCTGGCTAAAACAGGGAGGAAGGATAGAGGAGTTCAAGGAGAAAACGGTGGCAGGAATCCCGTACGTGATGATGGGGTGTCGGGGTCAGTGGTCTAGATACATGGTGTGCTATAGGAGAGGGGCCCATTGGCTAACTGTCTGCACCACACTCTTTAAAACCACAGTAGAGCAGAGAGATGGCAGACCTGGTCTCAATAGATCAGCAGGCTCCTGGAAGTCTTGGTGGCAGCCTTTGTGGGCGCAGTAGAGCTGTAAGATAGAGCCTCTGAGGAGCTTGCTCTCTGCTTCTGTGGACATTTAAATAGATGTTATCACTGCTTTGTTGAAGTTGAGAGCCAAATACACAGACCAACAGTGATCTGGAAATGAGAGGCAGGAAAGATCACCAAGCCAGGAGTAGTTAGAATGCCCTCTAGTCTGCATAGTACTTTGTCTACTGCCTTCACCACAGGAGGATTCCAGCCTGTGGGTCAGCTGCACCTCACGGGCATGTGCGTACTCTTTCCAGATTTGATGTATATTTCTCACAGCACCTGCACTGCCTATAATTGTCTATGTCCTTCTCCCTGCCCCAGTCCAGGGGAGGAGGTCCTCTCTGTAAAGAACCCTAGTTCCTCTGCACCATGGACCAGTGGGCGGTGGCAGAGTCGGGTGAATATTGAGAGAGTTCTGTGCTGGACTGGGCTAGACCCCATGATGCCGCAGGGTCCACAACAGGTGTCAGTGGGGCAGCATCTTCTGCAACAAGTCTTGGTTGGGCTGAGCCCAGGATGACTGCCAGGAGAGAGATGAGATTCACCCTCCTACATGCCAAGTTGCATGTAGGCATGTAGTGGGAACACAGCCCACTGCCACTGAGTCCATTCTGAATCACGGTGAGGGCCACGAGGCGTGAACAGCTCTGAACTATGTCCTCATACCTTAGCAACTCCTGTGGAAAGACTGAGACTATAAATCTTCACAGGAGCAGACAGCTCCTTAAGAGTGACTGATGGGCTTGAACTGCTGACCTGGTGGTTAGCAGTCTACCATTTGACCCACCACAGCCCTGTGGTTTTGCACAGGGACAAAACAACTGCCCAGGGGATGCAGGGAGAGACAGAGATGAGAGTTAGCCAAGGAGGAAGTGGGGCCAAGCACTGCAAGGTCCAGAGCAGCTATAGGGATGGAGCCATGGGCAGATAGGCAGTAGGCTGCTAGGGCCCTCGAGTAGAGTCTTGGTAAGTGGGAGCCATTGAGAAGCTTGAAGGGATTTTGAAAAAAAAAACACAAAAACCACCAGGATCAGATTTACATTGTACAAAACCAGCTACTGTGGTCAGGGAGCAAGGGACGGACTGGACGCTGGGCTCATTGCCTGGTCAGGCAATCAGAGCAGCCAGTAGAGTCTCTGAGGAGGCTCCTGGGTGAGGTGGGTCTACGAACTGGGGCTGCCTGATTGTGCTGTGGTGTGGGTATTGGGTGGGTGCTCGTGGCCAGATGGATCTGCAGTGCCTGGCTTTGGCACTCACTGAGGTGCACTTGGCGGAGAGGGGGCTATCGAGTGGGGCTGAGCCTTTTGGCCTAGGGACCTGTGAGCCATCCAAGTGAGGGTCAGGGTCTGAGGGGAATGTGTCAGCAGATGGTTTTCATGGGCATGACTTCAGTTCCTACTCAGCAAATAGCCCTGAGCACCTGCGCACACCAAGCTTTAACCAGGGACATAAAGAGGGGGAGAAGCAGAGTCTTCCCTCAGAGAGCTTGCTGTGTGGAGAGCCCACCATATTGCTCTCACTGTGGCATGAACCTCATTGGGACAGGAGAGGTGGCACTTGAGATGAAAGTTGGATGACAAGGACAGCCAAATAGCAGAGGCCCGGCTGAGCGCTTAGGTCCTGTCCTTGGACAGACCCGTCCTGTCTTCTGTGAGGAAGGACAGACTGGGACAGCCAGGGCAGCTCAGGAGCTGGCCTCAGCCCATGATGCTTATTGGGCACTTAGTTCTGTCCCTGCGTGTCAGGAGCTGGCAGAGACCCCTGTCTGAGCACCTTCCTCAGCTTTGTTTTCTGAAGTGTCTCCTCGGACTTTGAAGACTTAGGTCAGCATCTGAGCACTCCCAGTGTCCCCACCTCCCTGGGTGGGTCATCCTCCTGTGTAAAGTCAGGTGTGGTGGTCCCGGGACCCTTTGAGGTGAGGAAGAGAATGAAAGGCTCCAATGGGCACACAGAGGGAGAGATGAAGAGTTGCCTCATTCCTACCTCTTCCCTGCAGGTCTGGCTCCCGGCCATGAAGGCCAAGGGACTGGAGATTTCAGGCACCTTCACCCGCCAGGTGGGGTCCATCTCCATGGACCTCCAGCTGACGAACAAGGCCCTGCAGGTCATGACTGATTTTGCCATCCAGTTCAACCGTAACAGGTGAGCTCCCAGGTGACCCTGGGGCTTGGCCAGAGAAGGGTCTCCCTTTCAGTAGCTCCCCCACAGGAGGCCCACCACTCACTATGCAAGCAGTGGGCACAGGCCAAGAAGAGCTGGTGAAGGTCGGTGTCCCTCTCCGCTATCGCATTTTCTCAAGAACAGTGAATCCCTCCCCCACCACCAAAATACCAGACTGAGTGGGAATGCTCTCTCAGAACACCCCTGCCCCAGCCTTGCGAAGCAAGTAGAGGGAGCCCATCCCACCCTGACAGAGCACAGAGCGCCTCACCCAGGTCTGAGTCGCTCTTCATCTCCTGTTGGAGCCTCTAGAGTAGAGGGGTATTTCCAGGCTAGAGCGGGGTGGGCCTAACTGAGGCAGACCATCAGACCACGCTCCTCATCCCAGGATCCTCTGCACTATGTGTCAATGGGGAAGGGTGCCTGTTGGGGGCCCCAACAGGGTCAAGGCCATGGCTTTCTGGGAACCGAAGCAGCCTCTCCTGATGATCCTTCTTCCTGAGCAGCTCTGTGATGAGCAAATCGAGCCTCTAAGAAGTTGACTGAAGGGGCTGCTTCCCCAGCGAGAGGGCTGTGAGCCAGCCCTGGGAGGATGGGATGGGACAGGACAGCTCTCCGGACCAGTTGCCATGATTGTCGTGTATAACAGATGGTGTGTTGGCACTTCGTGAGTGCCAGACCCTAAGCCTGGGGCTTTACAAACATTATCTTGCTTCAGCCATTTGGCAACCCAATGACATTGATGCCTTGTCCCACTTAGTAGGTAAAGACACCTAGACTCAGAGAAGGCAGGTACATTGCCCAAGGTCACCCACAGGCAGCGGTGGGCTCCCAGGGAGAATTGGAGGGCTGAGCCACGTTGAGGGCCATGCACAGAGCTCTACGTCTCAGCAGGGCCCACCCCTCCCCAGGTCTCCATCATCTGGGAGGTGTGTGGTATGCACCTGTCCTGATTGTTTAAGGACAAGGACAGGAATTGAGTGACGATCAAAGACCAAGGCTACACATGTCCACCAGAGCTCAGCTGGTGGTCCCCGCCAATCCTGGTGCTACTGAGCTGCCTTTACTCTCGATGATTGTCCAGATTTGCCCATAGACTGCCCAGCGAAACAGGTTTCCTGAAGCTCTCTGTGGTCAGCTCTCACATCTCTCTGGAGGTGGTCAGAGCCCTCCTCAGAGCTGGTGGTTGGCAGCAGACTTGGGCATCACTGCATGTTCACATTAGAAGCAGTTCACAGTCCAGACCCCTGGTAAAGTCTGGGTTCTACTAGATAGAGCTGCTTGAGGACAGGCCCAGGCGGCAGGTGCTCCCCAGACACTGTGCCTAGCCCAGAGGAACGCACGAGGGCGATCAGCTGGCTACAGGACTCTGCTCCTGACCACACAGCCAGACGCAAGGCAAGGAGGCTGATCAGGAGCTGGGTGAGGCAGGCTTAGTGTAGAGGCTCCCAGAAGCCCAAGGAGCCAGTTCAACCATTTCAGCAACTGCTCTCCCGCCTACCCGCGGGGGCTTCTCTCCCCAGCTTTGGCCTGGCCCCCGCCGCCCCCCTACAGGTCCATGCACCGCTCAGCCCCAACCAGACTGTGGAGATCTCCTTGCCCCTCAGCACAGTGGGCTCAGTCATGAAGATGGAGCCTCTGAACAACCTCCAGGTGTGTTGCCACCTCAAGCAGTCATATGCCCGCTCCTGCTCCTTTCCGCCACCAATCCCTGGGGAAGTTGGCCAGGGCAAGAGTCATGTGGCCACATCGGTGGGGTCAAAGAGGACTAAGGGGACCAGGGAGGGCTTTTGAGAGAATCTGTGTGGGGCTTCAGAGAAGGTATCAGCAAAAGCACCAGGGTCCCAAGCTTCAGATACTGAGTGGGACCCTTGTACTGTCTTCAGGTGGCTGTGAAGAACAACATTGACGTCTTCTACTTCAGTACCTTGTACCCACTGCACATCCTCTTTGTGGAAGATGGAAAAATGGGTGAGTTGTGAGGGAGCCCTGGGTCTCTGGACGGGGGCTGTGGCCCAACGTGATGCTTCCTAAGAAATAGGATGGCTCGGCCCTCAATGGTGTCAGTGAGCTAGGAGGACTGGCATCGGTGGGATGCCTCAGGACCTGGTCTGGTCACCTCAGGTCCAGTAAGTGGGCTGTGCCTACAGGAGCCGCATCTCCTCTGCTCTGGGTGAGAGCCCTAGCTGGAGCCCCCTCAGGTCTCAATCCCTACTGGCACCGCATGGAGCACCTCTCCTCACTCATTCACCACGAGTGCCCTGAGCTGCAGGTGGGGCGCTCCCATTCACAACCATTTATTCAGACTGGAGAGCTGAGCTGACCAGAGGGCTCACTCTCCACCACAGTCTGAGGCTTGAGTCTTGCTCACAGAAGCCTTTCACTCCCAGCAAAGAAGGGCTGAGACTCCCCCACCCTCCTGGGTGACCTGCCAGATTCCCTGAGTTCAAAGGCCTCGAGGTGAGGAAGCTGTGTGATTTGGTGCTGTTTGGGGAGAAACTGGTACAGCTGGCCTGCCTGTCCTCTACTTCAAGGTGGTATCCCACTCCAGAGCCCTATGTGGTGGTGTTGAGTGGAGCCACACAGTTCATCAGGGCCCCTCTCTGACCCCACCCTACTTAACCTGCAGACCGGCAGATGTTTCTGGGCACGTGGAAGGACATTCCTAACGAGAATGAAGCCCAGTTCCAGATCAGAGACTGCCCACTCAACGCAGGTGAGGAGCCTGGAGCCTCACCCCACCCTGGGCCACACAGTCCCTTTGGATCCAGACCCCCACCCCTGACTGAGGGCCTTCTGCTGGCCATCTGACCCCCAGAGGCTGTGAGCAGCAAACTACAGAGCAGCAATATCTTCACCATTGCCAAGAGGAACGTGGAGGGCCAGGACATGCTGTACCAGTCCCTGAAGCTGACCAACGGCATCTGGGTGCTGGCTGAACTGCGGATCCAGCCAGGCAACCCCAGCCTCACGGTGAGACCCAGTATCCTGACCAGGACAGCCCCTGCTGCCCCTCCCTCATGCCTGGACCTGGGGTGGGTTCTGGTGGGAACAGTAGCCTGGCTATGCTGGGAGAATTGTGCCACGGGTCCTTCAAGTCTGACTATGAACAAAAATCAGAATCCCGTCCCTGGAAGGGATCTTAGAAAGCTCCCAACCCAACCCAACCCCATCAAGTAACCAAAATACCAAATTGGGCCTCAGAAGTTGGACTAGAGGATTCTGTAGAATGGGGTCCTGTGGCACTTCTGTGTGCCCAGTTGGGAGGCGGCAGCCTTGGAGCGCATGCTTGTCCTGGGGTCGGTGCTGCCCTTCCAGCCCTCAGAGCCCCCGGATGTGGGTCCCCTATGCCCCTGGTCCCCTGCAGACATGCCCCGCCGCAGCATTGGCACTGGTGGGTTGGGGTTGCGGTGGTGGTGATCTCAATCTCCCTGTGTTTGGTTGCTGCATGCCCACCCACCCTGCTGGGCGCCCGAGGTGCAGGACTTGGAGGTTAGACGATTGCTTTTCTCTCCTCCTCCTCCCTGGCAGTACTGCGCACACCACCTCATTGCCCTTCTGGTCTTATCCTGCTGCTTCCCAACGCAGCAGACATGCGTGTTGGCTGACCACTCCTTCTCCTTGGACCCCCACTGCCCACTTCTAGAGCTCTACTTGCTGCCCCTTCCTCCCTTCCGAATTGCACCCTTAACATAGTGATTTTGAGAGAAAGAGTGGGCGGCATGTCTCCTCAGCCTCAAGACTCATTCCTCAATTAGAGCTGAGGCTAAGTCTCCGTATACCTGCTGCCTGTGCAAAAAAAACAAGGAACATCCACCAACCACTGGCTATCACCCTAAGCAAGGACCTGCCCCCTCCAGCCCCCACCTCCCTGTTCTCCTCAGGGTTTCCTGTCAGGCTGGGCTCCGGGATTGTGGGGGATTCTAGCAGTAGGTACGGGATGGGGCTAATAGCCCAGCCTCATGAGTCATGCTTCTGGCAGCAGGGATCTGGTGGCTGAGCTAACAGCAGGTGTGTGGGCTACAAGTAGATTTGGTCTGTACCCGGCTGCTGCAGCAGGCACCCCTCTGCTTTACCTTACATCTGCCCCAGCGCAGCTGCGCCACCACTCAGCCCCTGCACGCGCGTGCCACACTCTTCCATCTGGCTCTCACCTGCTCTTGCATTCCTGCATGCTCCTTCCCATGGTTCGTGATTCCTGGAGCCCTGGGTGATCCCCCTCTCCCTGCTGCAGCTGTCCCTGAAGTGCCGAGCACCTGAGGTGTCACAACACGTGTACCAGGCCTATGAGACCATCCTCAAGAACTGAGACTGCCCAGGGCCTGCCACAACCGGGCCAACCCTCCTCCTGGAGCAAATCTCAGTGCACTTCCGCGCTCCGTCACCCCCTCTTAAGTTGCTGCTGATGTTTAGGGTCAGGTGAGGAGGGAGCCACAGAGCCAGAGCCAGAGTGGCAGCAGAGACCAGCCTGGGAGGTCCCAGGATTCTAATCTTCCTTTCTCCTGCCCGGACAGCTGACGGGGTTCTCCCCACAGGCTCCAGCCCCTGGAGTCCTGCTGCCCTCAGCCCCTCTTGAGTGGGGTTAGAGGCCAGACCCGGCCAGCCTATCGTTGGGTGGGAGTGAAAGGTCACTTTGGTACCAGGAGAGCTGCTGTCAGGGGTCAGGCTCCACGGTGTCTATGCCAACATGGGTAGGACTGCACCTCTGACCCTGCCTGCTCCCACCCAAGCTGTGCCCTTGTCCTGCCCATCAGCTCCCCCCAGGTCCCTGTCCTTGAGGACAGTCACTGCTGCCATGCACCCCTTGCTGTTTTCAGCAGAGTCCAGGGATGGCAGGTCGAGGGTATGCTTCCTGTTTGGGTTTCTCTCTAGCGTCCACTCCTCTCTCCTGGCCTCCCAGTTTCCGTTGTGTCTGACCGAGTGCTGGGTTTTCCTGTTACTGCGGTTTAATAATAAAGATTCTGCTTTTGGCAATCACAGACACTTTTTTCCCTCTACCAAGTGTCAGGATTGGAAAGCTGTCCCTGCAGTCACTAGATCTAATATATACAAAGAGAGACTATATATTGTATGTTTACGCTTATTTTCAAAAAGAGAAAGTGAATAAAAATGATGACAACAAGCGTGTCCCTGGCCAGTGTGTCAGGTTCTAAGGCTCCTTCAGGCGGCAGTCCAGTGGCACCCTGGGGTCAACGGCTTGGACCCCAGCATCCTCAGGAGAGCATCCCTGTCCTGTCCTTCGAAACTAACTCCTAAGACCAGTGAGCTCCTTGGTACCTCTCTTACCATCAATCTTACCCTTTCCACCCCAGCTGATGCTGTCTGGTCTGATGGTGTTGGCTTCCTCACCTCCCTGCCAGAGCCTGGAAGGGTTCTGGTCAGAGGGAGGGAGGAAGCAGTGGGCAGGCTGTTCCCTGACTACTGTTTGGGTATAGGCACTAAGCTAGCAGTTACCTTGGCCACTACCAAGGACAGCCTATGTGGCCCCAGACCCAGGGCAGGGGTGTGTGGCCAAGTGGGTTTTCACTTCTCGACACCTCCTTCAACCCTCCTTCAACCTGGAGTGACCCCTGGCCCAAGGGTCTTTTCAGCCTGCTTCTAGGAAGGAACATCCCAGCTACTCCAGCCCATGTTGGCCCCAGCCACACTTATGTGCTCTGTCTATGCCTGGTATACTGTGCCCTCCAGACACTGCTGCTTGGGGAACGAACAAATCTAGAATCACCCCTGCTCTCACCTCACCTGGGTCTCCAGGCTCGGAAGGTTTTGCACACATCTAGGGCCCCAGTCTATCCTGGATGGGGCAGTCTCACACCCTGGCACAGCCTCTGACCCCTTGTGGATGTGCTGCCTGGGGAATAGCTGCTTGGGTCACCACCCAGGTGATCTACCCATCAGCTCCTGAGGGCAGGAACTGCTCCCCCACTGGAGTGAAGATAGGGAGTTGAGGCACAGGATAGACCACTTGAGGTCTGGGGGGCTAAGAGAAAAGATGGACTTTTGGTTCCCTGCCTCATTCAAGCTGATGCCTCAGGTGATCATGGGTGGGGTGGTGTCATCTACCACAGCTGAGGTAGATGACACAAAGAGAAAGCGAGGCAAACAGAGCCTCCACACTCCCAGTTTCCAGGTCTTAAGGAGAAGGGCTTTAGGGGACATGAGACATTGTCCAACTCTGCGCCTTCACTTTCCCTGTCCTGGCTCCCTCAGGGTCTATGAGGACCCACCCAGTGCCATCTTTTCCCACCTCCTTTGATGGCACACTCTTCCCAGCTCAGCGGCCACCTCGCCTGTATTTAACTAACCCGTAACAAGACATTTACTATTTCATTTTCACATGTACAATTCAGTGTATTTTCATAATGTGGTACAACCATCATCTCTCCATTTCCACTTTTTTCTATCACCTTAACAAATTTAGTCCTCATAAAGCAATAACTCTTTCAATACAGCGGCAGAGTACCCAATATCAAAGCAAGCATGAGTGTACTTGTGCTTACTTAACATCCATGTTTGCCTTGCATTTTGGATACTCTATCCCTATAAGGACTGAATTTGAAGAGGCTTTGATTTCTGTAGGAAGGTCCTGTGGGGTTAGGAAAGAGATGCCAGTCAGACCTAGAAGCAGAATCTCTGATGTGAAAAAACGTGATTCACTACAGATTAGTAAGTAAGCACAAGTCAGCCTGTGCTTAACTCACTTATTGGGTAATCCTGTACTGTCTACTACTAATCAGCTTTGGTCTCTATATATTTGCTTGGCCTGGATAGGTCATTTCAGTGGAATCATACAAATTTGTCCTTTTGTGACTAACTTCTTTTCTCTTAGTATGATGTTCTCAATGTATCAAACTTCCTTTCTCTGTATAAATAGACCACATGTTGTTTATCAACTGACACAGGTTGTTTCCACCTGGTTACTGTGAGTAATGCAATGAACCTGAGCGTACAAGTACCTGAGTTGTTGTTTGCAGCTCTTTGGGATCTATACCTAGCACTCTTGCTTTTCTAACCATAGTTATTTCTAGAAGACCTTTCCACATTGATGCATATCGACCCACTTCCGTATTCCATATTTGGATGACCCATGGCTACCAACCCCATATTAATGCATATAGACCCACCTCTGTATTCTATGTTTGGATGATCCATGTCTAATGACCATTTCCTTCTTGGTGAATCCAAGTCATGCTGCAGTGAGCATCCTCCTGCATCCATCCTTGCTCATGGGTGCACACACGTAGCTGGAGGATCTGTTCCCAAACTACTGTGTCCAAGGGGATAACCATATCACATTTTTCATCTTTATCATCAGTTAACAATATTTACCTCTATTCACATCTTTTCCCCAACCCACCCTGTAACCATTATAGAATGCTGTTATTTAGAAATAAAACTTTTATCATAACTTTTTACAGAGGTGGTCTTATGCAATATTTGTCCTTTTGTGATTGACTAATTCCACTTAGCATAATATAATTATTAATAGGTATGAATTGACTGCTGTTACTTTGCTGGGTGTTTTTGATGCTGCTGCTCGTTTCTTTGTTTCACATAATTTTCTACACAAAAGTTGATTTTTTAGTAGTTATATATATATTACATGTACATGGATCAGAACCAACTTGACGGCACTTAACAACAATACATGGAGTCCTGGTGTGGCTCTGTGGGATAATGCGCTGGACCACAAGTCCGTTTGAACCACAGGATAGGTGGTTCAAATTCACCACCACTCCTTGGAAACCCTATACAGGGTCGCAACTGATTAAAAGGCACTTAACGACAACGTTGTTGTTAAGTGCCATCGAGTCGGTTCCAACCCATAGCGACCCTGTACAGGGTTTCCAAGGGTGTAAATCTTTACGGGAGTAGAAAGCCTCATCTTTCTCTCACAGAGCGGCTGGTAGTTTCGAACCGCTGACCTTAAGGTTTGCAGCCCGATTCGTAACCACTATATATATATATTCAATTCACAATTCACAATAAAAAGTTGAAAAGAAAACAAATATATATATATATATATATTTGTTTTCTTTTCAACTTTTTATTGTGAATTGAATGAAGGTTTACAGAGCAGATCATCAACAAATGATATTCTTTGCTTAATTACATGGTTGCAGTCCCCTCCATGTACCAACATTAACAGTTTTTAACCACTCTTCATTTTAACTATTGCATTCCTCTCTGTGTCTCCCACTACCTTCATTTTCCTTTACTAACCTCTCCCTTGTTGTATGTTGCCTGCCCTCCGACCCATGTTAACATGTATCTACCTTCTAGCCCATGAATAATTCCCCCACACACACAACCTATAACCATCACAGATTGCTGCTTTTATCAAGAACATTTAAAAACATTTTTGCAACTTTGGTCTCATATAATATTTGTCCTTTTGTGACTAATTTCACTCAGCATGACATCCTACAGGTTCAATCATATTGTGAGGTGTTTCACAGATTCATCACTATACTTCAACATTTTGTAATAGTCCATTGTGTATACGTACCAAAGTTTGTTTAACAGTTGATGGGCATTTAGGCTGTCTGCATCTTTTTGATACATCTCTTGAAGACAACATACTGAAAGATCCTGTTTTCTTATTCATTCTGCTCTTTATGTTTACATTCAGTGTAGTTATCAATAGGTATGAATTGATTGCTGTCAGTTTTCTGTGTGTTTGTGTGTGTGTGGTGCTGCTGGATTTTTTGTTCCACGTAATTGTCTATGCTGAGTTCATTTTGTTTTGTGGGGTTTTTTTCATCTTCATTTCTGTTGTGTTAATGTTTACTAAATCTTTCTGATTTTCCTCTTATTTTGATGTGATGGTATATGCTTTTTTTTTTAAGTTACCCAGTAATTTATTAAATTGTTTTTCCACATTTAAAACATGTTTTATCTTGAAATCTACTTGACTTCCTCGCCATTTGGAAGTTCTGTATTTACACTATTCCTCATTTTGCTTTTTAGCTCACTTCATTATAAATTAATGTTTCTGGTTCCCTATATTCAGTCTTATAGGCTGTTTTACTTTAAATATTTCTACATCTGGATTGAGTTCTGGATGATGTTGTCATATATGTTAACTTCAGGTTTTTTGCTATTGTTGGTTCTCAGTCCAAATAACTCCTTTTAGTATTTTTTGTAAAGTTGGTATGGTTATTATAAATTCCTTTAGTTTCTGTTTATCTGGAAGCAGTCTAATTTCACTGTTATATTTGAGGATCAGCTTTCTGGGTATATGCGTCTTGGTTTGAAATTTTTTTCTTTCAGAATTTTGTATATTCCATCCCATTGCCTTCTTGCCTACAT